TGAGCCACCCACACCTCATCTCCTTCATTCACTGTCCTTTATAAAGTTTATATCTCCACTCCCTGGCATTACATTTTATGACACACGTGGCCCGGCCCAACAAGGTCTCCTCTATGTCACATCCGGCCCTCATAACAAATGAGTTCGACACCCCTGAGCTAAACACTTTAAAACCTTGGGTTTCCAAAAGACAAGATGTTACGAATTCAAAGTTCTGGGTCCAAAAGCAACTCTTCCCCAGAGTCCCCAAAGCCATGTTGGTTGGCTTCAGCAACAAAGTCTCAGGATGTCCAGAAGAAAGCAAGACAATGTCGACATGTCAGTGTAATGGTGCCTTCTTGATTCTCAAATCCAAAAAGCCTTGGATAGAATAGTTTCAGGTGGGTAGCCAGGCTGGCTTGCAGTTTGAGAGCAAGATTTCAAGTCTGGCAGTATGTCAGAACTCCGGAGCAGTTCTCTGAATGACTGTTGTTGGTTGGCTTCAGCAACAAAGTCTCAAGGTGTCCAGAAGGGAGCAAGACAATGTCGACATGTCAGTGTAACATGCAGGCACTATCAAGCCCCCTGAACAGGCTTCAAGACAGATCATTTCTTGTCTGGATCCTAGATTGCTGTTAGGCCTTTACACCAATCAGGGTTCAGGCAACATCCTATAGTTACAGGTGGGCCAATCAGTAGCAGGAGGACTTCATTGGTTCTCTGCCCATGTCAGAAGGGCGGTGGGGTGATCTGCAGCCCACTCCACCCCCATCTCTCACAGGGGCTTAACTGAATGGAATGTTAATTGGAGAGCCACAGTGGGAGAAGAACGCCGTTATCTTTGCAGGTAAGCAGGACTGTGTGAAACTCTGGAACCGCAGAAGACACAACAATTCCAACGGACACAGGCCGCAGCCAGACTGAACCAGCTTTTTAAAACAGAACTCCATTTTGAATGAACCAAAGCTCTTGACACCCCCGCCCCCACCAGAGGCTCAGCATAGTTAGAGACCCCCGGTGTTATTTCCCTCACGGTACTCAGGGTGGAAGAAGAGGCTGAGAGACTGCATCTTCCTTCGGGTTGTCTAATGAATCTGTGGCAGAGGTGAGATTTGAGCCTCTTGGCTCACAGCTCAGCATCTTAGGCCTAGTTCTCAATGAGGCAGAAAACCCCATTCCTCAGGTAGTCTCTGCCCCGGAAGTGCAAAATGTAAGCAGGACAGAAGAAGAAGAAGAAGAGGAGGAGGAAGAGGAGGAGGAGATTGGATTTTTACCCTGCCCTTCACTACCCAAAGGAGTCTCAGAGCGCAGATCAGGTTACCAACTCCTTTCCCTTCTGCTCCCCACAGCAGACACCCTGTGAGGTAGGTGGGGCTGAGAGAGCTCTGACAGAAACTGCTCTTTTTCAAGAACAGCTGTGCCTGAACTATGGCTTGCCCAACGTCATCCAGCAGCTGCAAGTGGAGGAGTGGGGAATCAAACTCGTTTCTCCCAGATTAGAGTCTGCGCACTTAACCACTACACCAAACTGGAAATTGGAAAACAGTCAAACACAGAACCTCACTCAGGAAACAGATAGGACAGCCAACTTCTCCTAATAACAATGCACGGCTCCCTGTTTTGAATTTATTCTTCCATAAGACAAACAGATAAATCCCAACGACTGCACCTTAATTATGTGTCTGCAGCTGTATTTTGCCAATATCATGTATGTGAAAATGTATACTTATTTCCATAAGTTTGCCAGCAGTGCTTTGTGCTGGGTTATACATAAAACATTTCTTATTTTGAAAGCGTAGCTCAGGGGGGAAAGAAGACGTCCAATTGTTCTTCCTGCACCATCTTAATTTCTAGCAATTTAGAGCTCTAAGTAAGGGGAAACCCTAAACTAAAGGAGAATGAAAGAGACGTTCTTGCTGAAGAGGATCAAGGCCTGTCTAATCTAGCATCCTGTTTCCTACAGCAGCCAGCAGAATGCTAGGAATCCCAGAAAAAGAGGAAGAAGAGATTGGATGTATAGCCCACCCGTCACTTGGGAGTCTCAGAGCGGCTTACAAACTCCCTCCCCTTCCCCTTCCCCCTCCCCACAACAGACACCCTGTGAAGTAGGTGGGGCTGAGAGAGCTCTGAGAGAACTGCTCTTGAGAGAACAGCTCTGACAGAACTATGACTTGCCCAAGGTCATCCAGCAGCTGCAAGTGGAGGAGTGGGGAATCAAACCCGGTTGTCCCAGATTAGAGCCCGCGCACTTAACTGGAGTTGCCAGGGATTTAGATATAGGCATCCACTTAAGAAGTCCCAGGAGCTCTCCTTCACCAAATCATTTAACTCCTAGCTGGAGGTAAGCCTCAGTAACGCTACGGGATTGTTCTGTGTATAGTACACAGCTCCTGCCAACCTAGCAGTTCGAAAGCAAGAAATTGCAAGTAGATAAACAGGTACCACTTCAGTGGGAAGGTAACAGCGTTCCGTGCACCTTGGTGTTTAGTCATGCCGGCCACATGACCACGGAAATGTCTTCGGACAGCACTGGCTCTTCAGCTTGGAAACGGAGATGAGCACCGCAACCCTAAAGTCGGATTCGACTGGCTTTCAAGCAAGGGAACTTTTACCTTTACCTTTATCCACTTAAGTCCCAGGAGCTCACCAAATCATTTAACTCCTAGCTGGAGGTAAGCCTGAGTAACGCTACGGGATTGTTCTGTGTATAGTACACAAGTAAATACTATTAGAGAATCTCTGCTTCCATTTTAAGCTTTTTTATTAAAGCATAATTATTGGGTTCTTAACACAGACTAAATCAACAAAGCATTAGACTACCCGACCATCATTGTTACATAGAGTACTAAAGGTGAGCAATTACACGAGTCCACAAAAGGTTCTCACCCCAAAAGTAAGCAGGTCATAGGCAAGGAGCCCCTTCCGAAGAAGAAAGCTCTCGATCAAAATAGCTACCCCTATTTATAGGACTTTAAAATCATCTTCTAACAGCTAACTATCCTAATTGATAAAGGCTCACATTCTTGGTTAACTCATTAGCTTATAACTTCAAACGCTTCACAAGATTATCTATACTTAAAATAACTTCTTAAAATTGATTAAACATGTTAGTTCATCCTTGCCACTTTTTATCTTAACAAAGTTTATATAAAAATGATGATTACAACTTTCTCATATGTATGGATATCTTCTGGCCTTCAACCAACATTCTCTTCCTTGAAGCCTATCTTCACCTCCGTGAAGCTGGACATTCTTGTGGTTCTAAGACGTTTTGCAACCGGGCCTCATCAAACTGTATCTACTGACCATGAGTTAGACCAGGGGTGTCAAACATGCAACCCAGGGGCCGGATCAGGCCCCCAGAGGGCTTCCATCAGGCCCACAGTGGAACTGGCCGTCTCCTGCTTCCAGGTCTGCTGCTGCTGCATCATAGCTTGCTTCACCAGACTCTCTTAATCACTCAACCATTCCACGTTTTAACCTGGGTCCTAGACTCAGAACTCTGAGCATGAGATTTCTGTGCCGAATGTCAATACATCAAAAGTAGGTTTGCAGCTTACAGAGCTAATGTTTTAAGCATGTTTTTATTTTAAGTAAAAAAAACACACCCTTTGTGTTTGCGTCCTTTACAAAATTTATATCTCCGCCACCTGGCATTACATTTTATGACACACATGGCTCAGCCCAACAAGGTCTCATTTATGTCAGATCCGGCCCTCGTAACAAATGAGTTCGACACCCCTGAGTTAGATGGCTTCTGATCTACGCAAGGCCATACAATTGTTGGCACCCTCACTGCTCTTCTGTCCTGGGTCTCTAGGCTCCCTTCTTTGGCACGCTTCCGTGACAGGCAGACTATGTGTACCACAACATCCTCTATGAATCCTGTGTCACACAGTGGCCAAGCCAGTTCCTCTGGAGGTCTAACAACAAGGCACAGAGGTCGAGGCATTCCCCTGATGTTTCTTCCTGACCCTGGGATCCAGAGGTTCACTGCCTCTGAATGTGGAGGTTCCATTTAGTCACCATGGCTGGTAGCCACTGATAGACCTCTCCTCCACGAATTTATCCAATCCCCTTTTAAGGTCCTCTATGCCTGTGGTCATCACTACATTCTCCAGCAGCAAATTACTGCCGCGACTATAAAGATCAGTTGTCTTGGGGGCCAAGAACCTTTTGGCAACAACAGAATTTGGGGCAACAACAGAGCACCAGTTTCTGTGTTCTACTTACAGCACCTCTCTGATGAGGGCAGGAAAGGGGGGGTAAAAAAATTCAAAAACAAAAGCCACGAAACATGATGGATGAGGACTTCTTCTTGCAGACATTAACAGCAGCAGAAGAAAAGCCCAGGGCAAAGTGATAGGGCTACTTTGCCCCACCCCCACCCCCATAACTAGATCTTCACTTAATCCTCCCAAGGAGTAATAAAGATAATTTAACCCGACCTTCACCACTGGGGACAGAATTAAACTGCTAATTTCAATACCTTTCAAAGCCAACATGCCAGGAAGGAAGGGGATTCCACACAAATGCAAGCTTGAAACATCATTATTTCTATAGCACTTTCAAAACAAAGAACAGTACCTTGAACTGTAAACGTGTGCCACGTTTTAAAATTATACACCACAGCAGGCTCACATTCTAATGTAAATGTCGGTATCCCACTAATAAAATTTAAATAGCAGAACTTTTTTAAAAAAGTATGTATGCTCAAGTCTTTGGCGTTCAAGAGGTGTGCCTTTTTCCCATAGACTGAGCCCCTGTGCCTCTCAATGCCGTATCATATCTATGCTAGGAGTCTGTGAATGCTTTCAATTTCTAAGAAGGACTGAATAATACCGCAATTCAGTTGGCCAAGAGTCTGTCGAAACCCCATTCCTTTCAATAACCAATACCTACAGCCTATTTTATTTCACTTTTCAGAGAGGGGGGGGCATTCTTTCCCTTTGCATTTTTACACGAACAAAAGCTAAAATCAGATTCATGTTCTTAAAAAAAAATACGAGAGGGAAAAGGTCTTACTTGAATCTGGCTTCTACCTCGTTGACGGCTTTTTGGAATTCCTCTGTGGTAACTTTGTAGTACTGTGCGCTCTGGAAAAGGGGGGGGAGAGAGAAAGGATGAAGTGTAAATTATAAAGTATATCATAAGCTCCTACACAACGGTTAAAGCGTTTGGGGGAGAAGTTCAATTATTCTTGAAGCCCCAAAAGACGCTCTGCGGCCCAGACGACTTACATTGTAACTAGCATAATTATAAACAGCAGTTAATATGGTCTGCACGTTTTTGTTCTAAACAGACTACGCTTTTTAAATCAGAGAACAGGCAACTGCTGTTTCAGAGCAGTTCCTTTATCCTGCAGCCCAGGCTAAGCCAAACTCATCAGATCTCAGAAGCTAAGCAGGGTCGGCCCTGGTTAGTCCTTGGATGGGAGACCACCCAGGAAGTCTAGGGTTGCTACACAGAGCCAGGCAATGGCCAACCACCTCTGTTCGTCGCCTGCCTTGAAAACCGTGAAGGGCCACCGTAAAGTCAACTGCCGGTCAATGACGCTTTCTGCCACGGTGCTTCTGTTAGCCTTCGGCCTCTGCCTACCTTCTCCATGTGGGCCCCTTCTTCAATGGCTTCTTGTTTACCAGCCCCCCGATTCTCTCTGTTTCCCAATTCCTCTGCTCCCAGCCACCAAGTTCCTTCTCACACCCAACGTCCACGGTCTTCAGGCCCCGTGCCTACTTGTCCCAGGTCTTTCACGGCCCCTCGGCCCTGCTCTGGGTTTTTGTGACATCACAAAACCTCAGCCAGTCACAACAGCAGGTGCTCACAATAGCTTGAGACCAGTGTTCCCTCTAAGATGAGTTAGTGTGAGCTAGCTCACAGTTTTTTAACCTCTCTCACACATTTTTGTCTTCACTTAGGAAGGATGGCTCCAGAGCCAAGTAATGTATGCAGTAGCCAGATCGCTCACTCACAACTTTAAGGCCAGAAGCTCACAAAGTAGATTTTTTTGCTCACAAGACTCCACAGCTTAGAGGTAGCATTGCTTGAGACTATTTCACTTACCACAGTTAGCCCTCCAGGGACTACTTATTATTATTTATTAGAATTATCAATCACCCTATCCCAGCTTACGCTCTGGGTAATGTACAAGACGTAATGTCATAAAAAATACAAAACATTAAAATTCAATATGTAACTTAATAAAACTTTGAAAAAGCATAACTGACAGAGCTATTGATTTGGCGTAACGCCACATTCTGAGCCTTAATGCAATACCCAATTCCTCGTGCTCAACAACATTCAGCGTACTAAAATGGCGCCCACATATCTGAACTCCTAAACAAACTGTGAGTGTCCTTGAATTCCTTCTTGGGCCATTCAAAGATCCTGCCATACAGTGTGAAAGATATGGCAGTAGTTACAAAACAGAGAAAAAAGGGTAAATGGAAGGCCGCATGAGTTAAAATAGGAAAGCTGTATGCAAGTTCAAGTTAGTTGTACTCCCAATGGTTGACCCACAGGAATTCTCTGACCCATTCTTAGCCAAGGCCACAGGAATTCTCTGATCCATTCTTGGCCAAGGCTGAGTTTGGTGACACAGCAAAAGGTGGTTATGTATGTATGTGCCATCAAGTCATAGACGACTTTTGGTGACCCCAGGAAGGGTATTTCAAGGCAAGTGAGAAGCAGGGGTGGTCTGCCATTGCCTTCTTCTGCAGAGTCTTCCTTGGTGGTCTCCCATCCATGTACTCACTGTGCTTAATTTTCAAGATCTGACAAAATTGGGCTATATGATGTCACCTTCCTTCCCCCAAAGCTGGCTACATTAATTGTATTTGTGAGTGGTTAGAAGTCACATCTGAGGGGCCCAGAGAAAGATAAACACAATGCAACGCCTACAGATTGTATTCCTGGCTCCACTGTAATCAGGGATTTCTTTGCTTTTTTATTTATTTAAAAAGAGGTGCGGGAACTCTAAAGAGGGAAATGAAGTTTTCAATCTGTATACTGAAAACTCATGAACTCTTACACATTTTAAAAATAATTTTGTCAAAGAGGTTTCTGGAACTCTGTTCCAGAGCATCCCCCCAGGAAAAAAAAATCCCTGGTTGTAACCAGTGCTCCCTCTAAGCTGTGGAGTCTTGTGAGCAAAAATTCTACTTTGTGGGCTACTGGCATTAAATAGTGAGCGAGCGATTTGGCTGCTGCATAAATTAGTTTGCTCTGGAGGCATCCCTTCCTGAGCTAAGGCAAAAATGTGTGAGACGGAGGCTAACAAACTGCAAGCTAGCTCACACTAACTCAGTTTAGAGGGAACACTGGTTGTAACTAAGTTAATGTAGCACATGGTCACCGCTAATATTCAATAATATTCAATAAAATAACCACCTGCAGGATACTGATTCAGCGTAGATTTCTATTTCTGTCTGGAAATATCCTTCCACTCAGGGGGAAGCTACGGAACAAGCATGCTGCCACTGGAAAGTCAGTCCACCACATCCATCTCCAGAAGAAGCGTACAACTGGCCTTTTTATCAAGTCATCCCTCCCTAAATATCAAGGGCACACAACACTCGAACCTGAAGCAGAAATGGTTCTTCCTACGCCTCGAAATGTCACCGCTTCCCTATGGGGCAGGCGGCATACCGAGACAATGGGCCATAAAGTGGTGACATTTTTGAGATGAAATAATGTCACCATGGTAATTTTTATATAAGTAATGGTCTTTATGACTTTGTTACACAGTTAGCGTGGGAACTAAGTTTCATCACTGTCAATGAGTTCAAAGGCATTTTTTTTTAAAAATGGCACATGTATTGGTGGGCAGCGGCCGCAAACTACACCCTCTGGCCCAAGGTATTCTGTGGGAAGACCTTTCGTGGTGCCTCCCAAATAATTCCCCACCCCTCACCCAGCTTCAAAGTTTCTAGAAATCTGACGCCACCTAGCCCCTCCAGCAGTGGCAGAATTCACATTCCTGGGATCCAAGATCACCGCAGACGGTGACTGCAGCCATGAAATCAAAAGACGCCTGCTCCTTGGGAGGAAAGCGATGGCGAACCTAGACAGCAGAATAAAGAGAAGAGACATGACCCTGCCAACCAAAGTCCGTATGGTCAAAGCGATTGAGAGTCCCTTGGACTGCAAGGAGATCAAATCAGTCAATCTAAAAGAAATCAACCCCGACTGTTCCCTGGAAGGCCAGAGACTGAAGCCGAAGCTCAGATACTTTGGCCACCAAATGAGAAGGGAACATTCACTGGAGAAGACCCTGATGCTGGGAAAAGAAGGGAACAGCAAAGAATGAGATGGTTAGACAGTGTCATCGATGCAACGAACATGAAGTTGAGTAAACTCTGGAAGACGATGGAGGACAGAAGGGCCTGGCGTGATGGGGTCCATGGGGTCGCGAAGAGTCGGGCTCGACTGTGCGACTGAACAACAACAAAGCCCCTCCCACTTTCTAAAAGCACTCGGTGGGTACCAGAAAAGGCATTGGCGGGCACCAAGTTGGGGACTCCTGGGTTAGACTGTAATTTTAACCAAGCCACCATGACACTCTTTACTACGCACACAGCATTTCTTCCTTCATGCTCAAAGCATCAAGGAATACATTCAGCAACTCTTCCGTCAGCCTATGTAGCCTGTGTTAACTACCCACACATAGCACAGAGGATGGGAGCCTGCTGTTTGCCCTAGAACACCCACAGCATTCATAGCTGGGCTGCGACTTCCAGCCGAATGACATTACTTGGGTCTCAGAACTGGATTATGCATGAACCTGGCCACAGAGCCACTGACGACCACATCCTTGCTCCCTCAGTTCTTGCAACAAGTGTTCCTACCTGGGTGGCAGGACTCACGATGCAATGCAACAACTTGCTGTTAAGACAGGGTTGCCAATTTCAGTTTGGGAAATTCCTGAAGATTTTTTGGGGGGTGGACCCTTGGGAAGAAGGGGTTTGGGATGGGAAGCCGACTTCCGCAGGGTATTATAACCACAGAGTTTACCCTCCACATCAGCCATTTTCTCTAGGGAACTGGAAATTAGCTATCATTCCAGGAATTCTCCAGGCCCCATCTGGAGGTTGGCCACCCTATGGTAAGCACCATTAAACATTGCTGTAGGGATTTGAAAGGAAGATCTTGCCACACGAATGGCAATTTTTCTGTAATCGGGTTCCAATGCACCAGCATTCCTAGACCAAAACCTGAATCTCTTTTGGCTCAGCAGATACAGCTGTAGCCTAATAGATTACCACAGTGTCTTTGTGGGGAGGGGCTGTCACTGGCAGAGCATCTGCTTGGCATGCAGAAGGTCGCAGGTTCAATCCCCGGCACCACCAGTTAAAAGGACCAGGTAGGAGGTGACGCAAAAGACCTCCGCCTGAGACCCTGGAGAGCCATGAAGTGGGGCTGTAGCTCAGTGGCAGAGCACCTGCTTGGCATGCAGAAGGTCCCAGGTTCAATCCCCAGCATCTCCAGTTAAAAGGACCAGGTAGGAGGTGATGCAAAAAGACCTCCGCCTGAGATCCTGGAGAGCCGCTGCCAGTCTAAGTAGACAATACTGACTTTGATGGACCAATGTTCTGACTCTGTAGAAGGCAGCTTCATGTGTTCCTATCTGAGCTGAACCGTCTTCTTACGAAAACAAAACAAAAAGACGCAACGTGTCAGACCCCCTCTGCCAAATCAGACCAAGGTTAAGCAAGGCTCCTTTGCCGCGGCGGAAGACGGGAGCAAACTTGTGTCACCGAAAGGCTGTTCCATCAAGAAAGGGAAAAGGCCGGACGCTCAATCATCTGAGCCTTATGCTTCCCCAGACCATTCTGAAGTCACTTGGGATCTACAGCGATCATTGGAAAAAACATTAAGCTGAGAAGGAGAGTAAAATTGTGTTTCGGGCCTTGCGTCTTCACCCAAATTATAATAAATGGTGTAACAGATACCACAGTCCAAAGGGCACACAAAGATCAGAGAGAGCGTGGTGGTCTCGCAGCTCTGGGCTTGCTCCTGCAATTCAGGACCAATAATTCATTTGTCTGCAAAACCGAAATTCCAGGCAGGGGACTTTGATGCATGTTTGTGTGTGTGT